GTGTGTGTGTGTGTGTGTGTGGTAACAATAATAAATTATAGAAGATTCATGAACTTTAGAGGTAGTAGGAAGACATATATGAGTTGGAAAAGGAAGAAGGTAGGATGACAATGATATAAACACAGTACATGTGTATTAAATTCTCAAAAGAATTAAAAATTAAGTAAAAAAGATTCTAAACACAAGAATAAATTATGTAACTTGGCAGTTACCCTCCAACCACAATACTGATTTTATTAGAGGTCAACTGAAATAGAAAGATCAATAGATCATTTTATAAAACCTCTGGAAATTCAATCTTGAGGCTTTGCTAGAATTAAATACACTTACAAAATGCCAACACAACCCATTTGATCTCAGACATCAGCAAGATGTAAAGATAGTGGCAGGAAACCAAGGTGGGTCATGGGCAGGTGAACTCAACTTTATTAAAGTCATACCACAGTTAGTTTCACCTCAAGTCAACTCTGAGATGGATCAGAAAGACTAGCGTCTCATCTTAGTCACCAGACAGGACAATGCACTCTAAGATCTAAAACAGAAGTCACAGCTCAGCTTTTATATTCATTTATACATGAAGCCAAACCAGTGTATAAATAATGAGCAGATAATATCACCCCAATCAAAAGAAAACAGAGTCAACAAAATCAAACTAATGGACACACACACATTAAATACTATAGAATTAGGTAAGATGGTGGACTAGAAGCTGCCTCCCGTGGTCTAGTTAAGAATTCCCAATTACCTTAGTTTTTGTATTTTCACTTGCTACATATAGTCATCCAACATGAATTTTTTTCATTATTTAGCAATCTTTTATTTTTCTGTTGTTTTCTCTTTTTATTCTCATTTCTTCATTGGCCTGTGTTTTCCTCTCATTGCATTGCCTCTACCAGACTTTAACTAGTATATTTACTTTATTTTATTGTTTAAAAATATTACTGATTTTGCCGGGCGTTGGTGGCGCACGCCTTTAATCCCAGCACTCGGGAGGCAGAGCCAGGCGGATCTCTGTGAGTTCGAGGCCAGCCTGGGCTACCAAGTGAGCTCCAGGAAAAAGGCGCAAAGCTACACAGAGAAACAAAAAACCAAAAAAAAAAAAAAAAAAAAAAAAAAAAAAAAAAAAAAAAAAAAAAAAAAAATATTACTGATTTTGATTATCACTAAGTGGGACAAGGAGACACAAAGGCCTGTTTAGGGCATTCTGCCTTGGATGACAAAGGGAAAACACAGGCCTTCCCACTTGGCACCCTGCAGCTCAGGATGCTTCATAACTATTATGGCGAGCAAATGTATGATGTGGTATGGGAGAGAGAAAGACAGACAGACAGAATGGTTCATGTCCTGTGGAGACAGGTCAATCTGAAGAGGTAAAAGTGATGAGGTGAAGAGCAGGGTGAGGTGGGTGGTTTTCTTGCCACCTGGGGCCATGGTGATTACCAGGCCTGGGTTACTGTCAAAGCCCATGTGTGTGTCCATGACCCTGCTGCAACCACGGTCGGTGTTGATGTATGAGGCTCTAAAATCAAGAGGATAGGACTGCACAGAGTTGCCCCCGCCCCTCTCTGGCTGCAATGTCAGGAAGAACTAGCCTTGCCTCTCACCTGCAGTAGCACTTGGGAGAGCTGTTCCTACACCTTGCCTCAGTAGCACAGTAGAGCTGATTGTTTTCACAGGAGTGTGGGCAAGCTATCCCAGAGGAAGTGAGAGTTCGGGAGTGGCCCTGCCCCCGCTCATCTGCCATGTGTTGGTGTGGGTGAGGGAAAGATGCCCTCCCTAGCTCTTCCATGCCAGTTGCAGCAGGGGTGGGGGGTGAGGGGGTTGGGGGGAAGCTAACTCTCCCTCTTATTAGCTGCAGCACTTTGGAGAGCAGGCCTGGCATCTCGCCTGGGAAGCACAGTACAGCTGACCCTGTTGACAGGGTCACAGATGACCTGGCCAGTGGGGAGTGTATGAGATCTGGCCCTGTCCCTCATCTGCCATATGGGAATGTGGGCAAGGGAGAGATGCCCTCCCCACCACCAGCCCCACCCTTGCCACCTGTGGCAGTTGGGAGACCTGGCCCTGAGGTCTTAAGACTGGGTGACCTGTCCCTGCTCCTCACCAGCTGCAGCACTCAGGAGAGTGTCCCGACTACTAGGCAGCACAGCGCAGTAGAGCTGGTCCTGGTGGTGTAGGTGTGGGCAAGCCAACCCTGAAGTCATGAGAGCTGGCAGGCTGACCTACCCTACAACTACTCAGGCCCAAAACCAGGGCTAGGAGTTGGTCCACCCCATCTATGAACTGTTGGAACATGTAAAGGGGCAGGTCCTATAGATCCAGAGCTGCAGGATTTCCATGACACAGGACAAAAGGATATCCCAGAGGAATCCCAGTGAGGGCCCAGTATCAGTGGTATAGTAGAAACCAGAGGCCTCAAACCAGAACAATGACTCTGAAATGACCACTTAAAAGTAAAAATATATGGAATAAAGGGTATATTGTGTGATTCACAGTGTCACGCTACAGCTTCCAAGATGATTTTCCCCCCCTCTTTATTTTCCTTTTCTTTTCTCTTAAGGTTTATTTTATTTTATCTTATGGGGGAGGTTGCACGGTCTGAGGGCAGGGGGCAGAGAGAAGATACAAAGGGACATCGGCATTAATGGAATCGAGATGTATGATGTGAAAGACCAAAAAGAAAGAAGAAAGAAAGAAAGAGATACTAACTGTTTTGTTATTCACTCTCTTAATTAAAAAAAAAATTCAAAATTAGTTTTGTACTTGAACTTTCTCACTGTCAACAATCTTTTTCATTTTGTTTCTATTATTATTATTGTTGTTGTTGTTGCTTTTTCTCATCTCTTGCCTGTTCCTCTTCCCTTCCAGAGCATCATGTCCACATCTCTCCTTCCCTTTCTGTTTTTAAAACTTAAACCCTGTTTCTCTTCCATTTGCCCCTTTCTGTGCTTCTTTCTTTTTTCTCATTCTTTTATTATTTCCACGTATACTGCAAGTTACCTTAACTTCCTAGCACGTTCTACATTAGTGTTGCCATTTTCTCTTCTATGGTACTAGTAAGCTTTAATCTTTTTAATCTAGTTCTATATTTCATATGGTTCAGTGTTGTTGTTTTACAGAAAATTGTTTCCTCTTCTCTCATTGATATTGGGGGTTGGACCCCTGAAGACCAGGCTGTTCAATAAGATCCCAAAATAAAACTAGAAGTGAAACCTAAACTATCAAGGGCACAAATTGCAACACATAAAAGCAGGAGGCAGCACAACTCCTCTAAAGGTTCATAGCTACCCAACTACTTCATTCAAAGATACTAGAATGTATAAAATGCCAGATGAAGATTTTTAATAAAGGACTTCAAAAACAGATTCAGTACAGAATCTGAAGAGTAAAGTCAGCAACATGGAAAGGCCAGAAAATGGAATTTTATAAAATGAGAATGTAGAACAAAATAGTCTGTAACAACAACAACAAAAAAAACCCACAAAAAAAAAACAACCCAGTGAGAAAAATTGAGACTTACATTAAAACAAAAGAAAATATTGGAAATTAAAAAAAAAGATCAATTAATCAAAAACAAGTGCAGTTTGCAAGTATCACAAATCAACTTGACCAGGAAGAAAAAAGAATACCAAGGATGGAGGGCACTGTCAAGGAAATAATACACTCAACATTGCTAAAGAAAAATAATAAGCATGCATGGCCACCATGTCAAGGAACACCAAAGCGGCCAAACCTAAGCATTCACAGAACAGAAGCTGAAATTAACAACTAAAGCAGGAGAGCTGGAGCAGCATTTCAGAGTACTTGATGCCTTTCCAGAGACCCCAGGTTCAATTCCCAGCACCTAGTTCTTAACAATCATTGGTAATTCCAGATCCAGATAATTTGACACCCTCTTCTGGTATCTTCAGGCATTGCATGTTTGTAGCACATAGACTAATATAGACTCCAGGATATTGATAGAAGTGGAGCTGCTGAACTTGTATATATTTCTGACAAAGAAATAAGTAGACAGGGCACTTTGGAAAGGTATTGAGAAGTGTCTATTAAAGCTATAAAGCCATATCACCAATGACCACACAACAACAAAGTTAACGTTTATATCTAACAAAACATTTATACAAGAATGTTTAAAAGTAACTTTACAGTTATAATAGCCAACAGCTTGAAAGAATCTAAATTCCCAGTAACAGCAAAATATATTTAAAAGTTATAGTTTGCTCTAACAGAGCATGAATATGAATTAAGTGGAAAAAACTGTGATTACAATGAAACAATGAAGATGATAGATAAGCATGATGTTGAATAAAAGGAATACGAAGCAGTGGGATACATGTCCAATTATTCCATTCATATGCAAGTCAATGGATATGCATAATCTATGTCGAGAGAGAACTAAATTAGAAACAGTGCTCACTAAAGAGGGGCTAGTAGTACAAGCTTGTATATCCCAGAACTTCAGAGGTAGAGGTAGGAGGATGCTAAGTTCAAGACCAGCATGGTTGTAAAGCAAGACACAGTTTCAAAAACCATAATTAATCTACAAATGTGGTTCCTTCTTTCATAGTTTACTATTTGTTAACATATATTCCTACAATATGAATTCTTTAGTTATTGCTAATCATATAACTTATGCAAAGAAAAAAACACAATGACTCTAGATACTTACACTTCAGAGATAATTTATTCTTGTTCAATTGTAACACTAATAAAAAAAAGCTGTGTGACTACTGTTAAAATTAGCAATTGACCAAAGGTATTAACATATTGCAAATTATTATATTAGAATACAAGGAGTTTCTTCTAGAATGGGAGAGCATTTATCGTATGAGATAAATTGTGAATCCACATGATATTAGGAATAGTATATTTGCATCTGGCCTTGCATATACATCCACACAAAGGATCTATGCATTTCAAGAAAAAGGCAGAATTTCTTAATCCAAGGAGGTACTGGGAAGATATCTCAACAAAGCTTCTACTTCACTGATTTGTACTTACTCCACTTCTATCAATAACCTGGTGTCTATATTAGTCTCTGTGCTTTCTCCGAAAATCCTTGTTTTCCCATCTGTTCACAAAACAGCCAGTTTTACACGTGGAAGTTGTCAATCCAAGACTTTTTCCAACTTGAAATCCAGCTGCATCCCAGACTGTTAATAATTGAAAGATCAATTGTATCATAGACTTGACTAGATGTCATTTCAAGTGGTGTCTCTTCAAGATGGCAAATACTATAATATTGACTGAGACAAAGAAATTGCGGAAGATGCTGTAATGAAGGCTGACAAATGTATGTGTGATTCTCTCTGTCGAGTAATTGTCCATCATTTCAATTTTGAACTGCATTCTGGAAACAAAAGGTGGGATTTAACAAACCACATTTCAAAATATACAATACTACGTGGTTTTAAAAGCATGATTCTTATTAAGGAAAAAACTGAAATGAAGCAAACTAAGAGATAAATACAAATTCATGCAGAACTTGAGTGTATGGTAAAGGTGAAACAATGATTATACCACTGAGTGTTGGATAAATTCAGATGCTGACTTTGGGAAGTATATACCAATAAACATTCTACATCATAAAAATTAAAACAGAAAATTAAAACTATTACAGCTCAGAGAAAAGTGGGATGGGATAAAACTTCTCTAATCTAAGCTTTTATAAAAAAGAACAAAAGGAGCAAGAGAAAGAGAAGGACAAAGAGGATGAGGACAAGAAGCAGGGAGGGATGCGGGAGAAGGAGGAGGAGGTAGTTGCACCAAATATTTCAAAAACTAAAATCTCTGTGAGAAAATAAAAACTAACAAAAAAGTTATAGTGAGGCTCTCAGCAAAGCAACAGGAAGAAAATACTCAATTCAGATTACAAGGTGATAATTCCTCTAGTATATAAAAAGCATCCACATGCTGTTCACCTACTTTATTATTACTCACAAACAATGCAGAAGGAGGTGTCAACTTTAAAAAAACAAATTATTAGCAATTACTGAAAAGTACAAAAAGCATAATAATGATCACCCATAATCATACCTTAAAATGATTATATCTAACATTTCAAAGTCATTTTCTCTTTATGTTTCCATTTATTTATACATTCACTGACAGAAACCACACATAGCAAGTATATTTTATATACAAATATAACATACAAATGTATAATTCTGTAAATACAGGTTTCTCTATCCTGAGGTTTTCTCTAGATGTATTATTATATTTGAAGGGAAAGCTCTAAGGAGCCTTCAAGGAAATACACATATACTGTAGAAATGTGAATTAGAAGTTCCAGCCATATACGAGGATGGTAGACTGGGAGGAGGTTATTTTGAATTTATGAAAAGGAATGTGCATATGTCTTTTTAGAATAATATTTTCCAAACCCATGTCTCCTTTCTTCATAGATAGGAAGTAAAGAAATACTGCTATCTTATTTCCCATTGGGTGGACTGCCTTACCCGATGGATGAATTTTAAAACATAATTGTAGCAACACTCCTGTCAGGGTCTCTTTTTTGCTGAAGGAAGCATTCACCCTCTTTGCTCTCCACCTTGTAGCAAGTTATCTGTCCCAGTGGGTAAGATTGGAACGTTTGAAATGTACCTGTGCCTAAGGAGGGAAGTTTAATTTTAGAATAAAACATTGAGAAACACATCAAAATGACATTTCTAAGCTTTTATCAGTAATTAAATTGCTACTTTGATCTCAAAGTGTCTGCCTCTTGGGCTTAAACTTGCAAAGGGAAAGAACAGTGGCATGTTGACTCCTACTTTATCACAAATTCCTGTTTCAAAATACTAAAGCGATTTCATATCCATTATCCTATTATGTAATCACAATAACCCTTAAACATATGAGGGAAATGAACATTAATTAAGTCAGTGTCTACTATTTACTCAAAGGAATAAGTAGGACTGTTGCAAAATAGTTCCATCCTTTATCTGAGTTTCCACAATTTTGAAAAATAGAATTTGCCTTCATTTTAAATGCAAGAGAATGGAATGTCAGAAAGACTGAATGACCTTCAGAAGACAAACTTATAGCTAATGTTGAGACTTCAGTTCAAATAAATTTAACAAACCAAAAGAATATCCTCCATTTAATTGAGTGTTTCCAACTCTTTGTTCATGTTTGACTAAAGGAGGATCTCAATAAATGAAGCTGAAGAGATAGTGTAAACTTTCTTATTCCTCTGTCTCATGAAGGGAGAAAACACATTTTTGGAAGACTCAAACTCACAAAATTGTCAAGCCTCATGAGAGAGGCACAGTGGCATAAGGCTAATGTGTGAAGATGTTTGTGGAAATACTATGAGCTGGTACATGGTATGGAACAAATGTAACAGATTCTAAAATATGGTATCCAATATATGTTCTTCTCATTAATCTATTATACTTTCTCAATATAGTGTATTGCAGAGACCCAATATAAATTCTAGAAAATAAATTACTTCATTGTGACATTTCCATACATCCACATATGACACTTTGATTATCTTCACCCTCTAGTCCCCTCATAATGCCCCTCTCCCCCTCCCAAATGGTTAGGTCTATGTTTACATAGTTTTCTTTGTTTCTAGATAAAATATCTGAGAGAAAAAAATGCAGTATTTTTATTTCTGAGTCTAGCTTATGCCATTTAATAGGATGCTATCCAGTTCTAAAATCCATCCTTCTTAAGGTGATATAATTCTTTTCTGCTTTATTATTGATTAACTTTATCCATCCCATAACCACCTAGGCTAAGTCTGTAGTGTGACTACTGGAAATGATGTCATTAAAAACATGGCCATACAGGGCTACTATGCTGACATTAGGTTTCTTTGGCTATGCACCTAGAAGTTGAACAGCTGAACCCAACAATATCCTTCTGTGTATTTGTTTGATTCATTTTTGAGGAACCCTCGTACTTGTTTCTATGGTAACCATTCTAATTTACATTCCTCCTAACAATATACGAAAGTTTTTTCCTTCTTCTCCCCTTGTCTTCTTGACAGTGTTTGCCATGTTTCATTTTCAGGATGTAGCCCCTCTGAAACTACAATGTAATTTTTAATTAAATACTATTCATTGCTAAAGATATGAACATTTTTTTACATCTTACTAGCTCTCTGTGCTTTTTTTCTTAAAAAGAGGTCTCCAGCTAATTTGCTAATCTATTGATCAGATAACATACTTTTTGTTTACATTTTTGAGTTCTTTGTGTATCCTGAACACTAATCCTTTATCAGGTAATCTGGCAAAAATTTCACCCCTTCTGCAATCCCCCCCCCCTGTTGTTTATGGGCTATACAGAGCTCTGTATTTTGTAATATTAAATGAGGGTCCATTTGTCTATTTTGCTGGAATTTCCTCGTTTAATAGAATCATCCCTTGGGAGGTCATTGACTGTTTCTGTAGCTTCATTTCTCATCTTTTCCTCATTTTAGTATTCCAGGTATCACATTAAGGTTACTCACTCATTTTGAGTTGGATTTTCCTAGTTTCAACCTTCTACCTGTGGGTATCCAGTTTTAGCAGAATTCCTTACAATGGAGCCTATATTTTCTCCAACATACACTAGGGAACCTTTATCAAAATCAGCAGGTTGTAAGTAGTTGAGATGATTTCTTTGTCATCTATTCTATTACATGGTTCCATATGTCTCTATGACAACCATTCTGACTCTGTTACTATACTAGATATATAATATAATTTAAAATTAGACTTTTAACAGTATATTTTGGATATTTGGGTCTTTTTACTTTCCTATATATTTTAGGATTATCTTTTATAGTTCTGTGAAGAATTTCCATAGTTTTCTAGCATATATTCCATTGACTATATAGATCATGGTCATTTATTTTCTTCTAAATTATAATCTAGTGTCTTCCTTAGTTTTATCATCATTTTAGATTTTTTTGTAAGAATCTTTAACCTACTTGGTCATATCTATTCCTAGATATTTTGGGTTTTAAGGCTCTTGAGAATGAGATAATGTGATGGTGTCAGTAGACTGGGCATTGGTATATAAAGAGCGTACCAATTCTTTTATGCTGATGTTTTATCCTGATACTTTGATATATTTGTTTAATGGTGTTTTAGTTAGACTTTCTATTGCTGTGATGAAAAACCAGGACCAAAAGCAAGTTGGGGCTACCACCACCTGAATTCTGTTCCTGGCTTGCTAATGACCTCTGATCTCCAGGAAAACTTTATTAACATACAAATAAAAACACATTTCAGCACAACTGAAATATCACCACAGATGTTCACTTCTTTCCCAAGACTTACAACACTTTTTTACTTAGTTCTCATGCCTTTATTTCCTTCACTCTGTAACTGGAAAAAAATTATATATATATATATATATATATATATATATATATATATATATATACATACATACACTGTGTGTGTGTTGTGTGTATGTGTGTGTGTGTATGTATAAAATATATTATCTCTATCCATTCATCTCTTGAGGGTCATGTAGATCGTTCCATAGCTTCATTTTTATAAATACTGATGCAATAAACTTGGATATGTAACTAATGAAAGGAGTGTGTGCAAGATTTTAGTCCCAGTGGCCATTATTTAAAGGCTCCTCTTTCCCCACATCTACAAGAACATTTGTTGTCACTTGTTTTTTTGATGGTGGCCATTCTGACTAGAGTGAGAATGAATCTCGGTGTACTTTTAATTTGCATTTACCTTATTACTAAGGCTGCTGAACATATTTATCTTTTCATAAAAGCAGCTCTTTTGTCTCTTAGTTTCTTTTTAAGTTTACTTCATTTCTATTTCAGAAATTTCTTCAGAGAACCTTATTATTTCTTTCTATAGACTGGGAATTTTAACTTCATTTTGTTTTGTTTGTTTGTTTGTTTTTCTAAAACCACAAGGAGAATAATTAATTTACTTGTTTCCTATGGTTTTTTTATTATTTTTGTTTTATCTACCTTAATGTGTGTCTGTGCACTATATGTGTGCCTAGTGTCAATGCAAGCTGGGTGAGGATATTGTATCTCTTGGGTCTGGAGTCATAAACAGTGGAGAATCACAACGTGGGTGCTAAGAATCAAATGCAGGTGCTCTGGAAGAGCAGTCTGTGCTCTTAACAATTGAGTCCTCTCTCAAGCTCCTTCTCTGATGTTTAATGTAAACAACACAGCTATGAAGTTTTGCCTTAAACTTGCTTTAGCTTTATCACAAAGGTTTAGTAAGGCTTTCATTTTCATCTGATTCTAGGAATTTTTAATGTATGCCCTGACTTCTGCAGTGGCCTCCATTCATCATTCAAGATGTATTTTCTATCTCCATATATCTGTATTTTCCCTTTCTATTGATTTCTAGTTTTATTCCACTATCATTAGATAACATACAAAAAGTTATTTTTATTCCTTTTTATTAGTTAGTCATTTTCTAGAAGTTGGAGGGATAGATCAGGAGTTAAGAGCACTTACTGATATTACAGAAAACCTGAGTTTAGATACCAGAATTCATATTGGACAGCTCACAACCTCCTGTAACTCTAGATCTAGAATATGCTGCACCCTCTTCTGGCCTCCCATAGAACTTACACTCGTGTGAACATACCCACAGGGATACTAACACACATACATATAACTTTGAAAAATAAAAGTAAACATATTAAAAAAAAAAACTGCGTCTTATCTAAAATGTGGTCTATTTTTATTGAAAATTAATTGAATAGCTGAGATGGGTGTGAATTCTGAAACTGTTACATGAAATGTTCTCTAGATATTCTATAGTTAAGTCTATTTGATGTGAGGTACACTAGGATTCTGGAATGCTTCTTTACTGATTTTGGTTTGGATGATCTACCTTTCAATGATTTTCCCCACTGTAATTATAGTTGAACCAATCTATCCACTAGTATATGTTTCACAAAACTGATAGATCAATATTCTCTAGTCATGTTATATATGCATCTGAAATGATTATATTTTCTTGGTAGATTGTTACTTATAGTAAACTGTAATGACCATCTTCAACTCTTCTGGTTTCAGCTGATGTCAATGAGCCAGACACAGAATAAAAGTAAAACTCAAGTACAAAAATAAGAAAATAAAATTGGAAATGGAATAAAATAAAAATATGTAGAGAAAAAAGAAAGGTAGAGGCTGGGCGGTGGTGGCACACACCTTTAATCCCAGCACTTGGGAGGCAGAAGCAGACAGTTCTCTGTGAGTTTGAGGCCAGCCTGGGCTTCAGAGTGAGTTCCAGGAAAGGTACAAAGCTACAAGGAGCCCTGTCTCAAAAAAACAAAACAAAAAAGAGAAAAAAATGTAGGTCATAATTTAAAAAGAAACCAAAACATTAGAGTATTTTATAATTACAAAGAGAACAAAACTATTTTTAAAAGAACAAAGAAAATGATCAAATACATTTTAAAAATAAATACTTGATGTGAATATATAACACACATATATATGTCCACTGTCTCTATTCACTACCTCTGTAAATGTGTACTTTTTTCTCTATATTCTTGCTCTAAGTACCCCTTGGAGAGTGAAATGGCTGTTAACACATTCACCCTTTCTTTCTTCATGTGTTGTTCACCGTTTAGTCAATGACAGTGTGTTGAGACTAGAGCTGATTGGAATAGATTTTTATCCTTCTGTCTAGTTTGCTCGATGTCTCATGAACCCATTTTCTTAGCTAAAGTTTACCTCAAACAGATTAGCTTGAAATACTCCAAGGGATGAATTGACACCTACTTCAGTTAGGGGTCAATGTTTTAGAATCCCTTCTGAAACGTAATAGTTAGAGGTCTGGTGTAACAAACCACTGTCTTAGTGAAAGTCCATTTCCTGTATTTTCCACTACAAATAATATGTAACATCAGTATTCTAGCAATATGTGAAGTCCACAGTCCAACCTTAAAGGAAAAAAAACACTGCTGATTTCTAAAGAGCAAAGATTGCATTTCTATTAAGGAATTAGAATTTAAGGTTTTGAAGCATGTAGTTTTAAATAGAGCATGTCTTACATGTCCAAAAAAATATAGTTACAAAACTCTTGGAAACTGAAAGTCAACAGATATTATCTCATAAACAGAGAAAGTTATAACAAACCTTTGAAAATATATTCCAAAAATCAGCTATGACTTCAAGCAAAGAGTTAACACTTCACAGAACCACATCTGAATAGGAAAAAATTTTCACTTGAAAACAATATAATGTATATATGTTGTGGATATCATTCTGTATAAATAAAACACTGATTGGCCAGTGGCCAGGCAGGAAGTATAGGCAGGACAAGCAGAGAAGAGACAGCAGCATGTAAAGATGCCAGTAAGCCTCAAGCCATGTGGCAAGGTACAAATTTATAGAAATGGGTTAATTTAAGATATAAGAACAGTTAACAAGCAGCCTGAGCCATTAGGCCAAACATTTTAAATAATATAAGTGTCTATGTGTTTATTTTATAAGTGGGCTGTCAGACTGCCAGGACTTGGCGGGACCCGGAGAGAAAATTCTCCAACTACATATATAACTACCTTTTAGTTTTCCTATTCTTTGTGCTTTTTACACACACACACACACACACACACACACACACACACACACACACACACATACACACACACACAAATGATGTATTATCATAAGGGTTTA